CAGATTCGATATATTCCAGACAATACAAAAGTGGTAATAGCCTTGAGCGAGGAGAGTCTAGACTTGTAGTCTGACTGATAGTCAAATAGAATATATTTAGATCTAGTAGCTCTCCTTTGGAGCTGCTCTAGAAGGACAAAGTCCTTGACCAGAGAGGGTCTCCACACAGGAGAACAGTATGTTAGGATAGGGACTACTAGTGATAGGTATAGCTTCTTCTTTACAACTGTAGGTGTTGTGGCAGCTGGAAAGACTCTCTTTATCATTCTCAGTACATTATAGGCCTTCTTGAGAACACAGTCCACCTGGGCAGACCAGGAGAGTGTGTTGGAGAAAACTACACCAAGGTCCTTACAGATTTGTTGATGGGCAGTTGGTTGACCATCTAAGGAGTAGTCAAATATGACGGGGAGACCTCGGAGAGTGATAGCTAACAACACAGCTTTTGTTACTATTGAAGGCAAGACCTGAAGTGTTACTCCAATCACAAAGAAGACCTAGGTCACTTTTCAACAACTGGCAATCCTCTACTGAGTGAATGTCTCTGTGACACTTACTATCATCTGCAAAGAGTAATAGGGAGGAGTGAAGAGGAATATTTGGTAAGTCATTGATGTAGAGGATAAATAGGAGGGGGCCTAGTATGCTGCCTTGTGGGACTCCAGATGTTACAGGCAAAAGAGTAGAGACACACAGTAGAAAGTTTGAGCTGATTCTGATAAGAAATTTTAAAGTTATAGCCATTAATTTTTACGAAATTGGCCAATTTTTGAAAAATGTTTGAGTTACAGCTAATTTGAAAAAACTGAAGTTAAAATTAAAATCACAAATTACAAAGGATTAAATAAACTAGTACACTAATATGCAGTCACTAGAAAAAAATACAATAATATTCTTAATAATTATCACAGGCTCTGTCTGATAATAGGAATCCTTCTACTTCAGCTTTTACTTCTCCAAACTTACCAGGATAGTCATCACAAACTTGAAGTACTTTCCTCCAGGTCACTCCTTTATTGGAGTCTATCCATCTCTGGAACACTAGTATGAGCTCGGGAATGTCATAATCTAAAGAGATCACTATTTTGAGGTGTCTTGTTGAGAATGTCTGTACATCAATAATAATTAACTAGTTTATCATAAGCCTTACCTTTACCTCATGCAGTATTAGTGTCTGAGGTTACCTTTTAGTTATAGCATTTATCAACCATCAACAGGTAAGATAGCTTTAGTAACCTTTTCTGCTGCATAAAAAAGTCTATATACAGCAGGTCACTGACAGTTTGTTTTAATGTATAACCACCATTTTATTTCACTTTGACAATACTCACTTTCAACGAAGTACACTATTTACCTTTATGAATAGCTTACGTAGCGCCCCAATGGATTATGAATATGCATGTCATTAACCTGATAACACTGCCAGTAAGACTGAGGTAATTTTTCACTACCTTAAGAGACTCATCAATAGGACACTATAGGCTGATGATGTTAGTACTTATACTGTTCTAGTGTAGTACTGATTGTCAATGAGGCTCTTGAATATTGATCCATTGCTCCACTGGGTCTGTATACTGGTCTTATAAACACTCTCTAATATTAGGAAATCAACCACACCATCCATATCATGATATCTGTAGGAGAGAGAATGTATATCATGATTACTTTAACTAACAAATCACAGAATATTAGTAACCTATACCATGCACTTAGATATAATTCATTAGATAATGGTGTTAAAATACACCTTACATTTTGTGTATTTTTGGAAAGGGGACAAATTGGTGAATGTTGGCATTTTGACAGTCATAGCTAAAATAATAAACAGGCAGCCAATTTGAATAGTGTGTCTTACTTGAAAGTGAAACTGATTTGTTTTTTGGTTTATTGCGTACTGTATTGGTAAAAGGAACATCAGAACCAACTGAATGTGACGACAATAAAGCTAGAGGGAGGAGGAAGAGTGTTATGTTTATTAGTAGTGCAAGTTATATGTATATAAGTACTGGGTGAGCCTGAGCAAGCCTTGCCAACTTAATATTTCATAACACTTGACGTGATGGTGAAAAGTGTGTGGGCAATCATGACATTTTGCATTGTGTTTTGTGGCTAGCGTAAATTTACATTTGCTGTCACATGGTAAGAATTAATGAACTGTCAATCAATCAATTTAGTAAATAGAAGTAGTAAGAACAATAATAATAATTATTATAGTTGAGTATAAATAGTAACTTCACTATCGAACCAAAAAAGAGAAATGCCTAATTCTACTTTAATTACTCCTTGTGGTACAACAGTATCATCATTGCTCCACTGGATGCCATTAAGAATATCAGCAGGTAATTTTTCATAAGTAGCTTCAGTGTCTTTTATCAATGGAATATCTTTACCATCATACTTTGTAAATACTTTAGGAAGTTTTGGTTTGAATTTATCAAATTTTCCTTCATGAAACGCAAGTAATGCAAAGTAATCTTCACCATCATCCATTAGTCTAGCTGACATGTGTCGACCACATACACTTGTATAAAAATGAACTGCTTCACTTTCTTTAGGAACATCAACTGGTAATAACGGATAGGAATCATCACCAATGACTGCATTATGAACATAATCCTTTAAAAGTGCATTTTCAATTTTTAATGTTTCTACTTCCTTTGTCACCCTCTCATTTTCTGATTTTAGTTTATCAACTGCTTCTTCTATTTGTTCATTTTCTTTCTTCAATTGTCCACAAGCTACAGCTAATAGTGTCATGTGTTTAGTATCAGCAGTGTGTACATGTACATCTTTACGTAATGGCTTATCATTACAACCAGCCCAACTAAACACACAATCTACTGGCTCCAATGGACACTCTCTATTCACATGAGCAGTGAGACTACCTCGTGGCATATTAGTAGACACACATATATTGGGACAAGTAACAGGATACAGCAAGCATTTCTCATAATGATCCTTTGTAATAGAGAGGAACGTACCTTTACTCCTGCAGTAAAGGCAACCAAATGGACGTTGAGGACATTCTTTATCATGATCCTTAAGATATCTACGTTGCTTTCTCTCTTGACATTCTTCATATTGACACTTTACTTCTTCATATTGACATTCTCCTTCTCTCTTCCCTTTATTAAGATGAGTAGACATATTTTTCAATTCTCCTTTCCATTGACATCCTTTCTCCTTATTACTGCAGTAGACCTCCAATCCATTGATAATACGAAGTAGCCCTTTATTAACCATTGCTTGATATTCCTTCTCTTTACACATAGGACAGGATTCATTACTAGCTTTTACTCTCTCAATACAAGACCCACAGAAATTATGTCCACAGCAGCTCACCAGATGAGGATCTGTCAAGATATTAAGACAAACTGGACACTCTATCTCCACATGCTCGGGCAATTCTTAACAAATGAAAGCTCTTCTTTACTGAACTGAGCCATTGCTACCAGCCACTCCCTTGATCTTGTGTACAGCCACTGTATCCAATGGTAACAGTGTAAATGAATATACTTACTCACTGATAATAATTCAAATTCAATTTCCAGGCCAGATACACCCATTGATATTTGATACCTACTTGTACATCTAATAATCTATAATATTTGTACTCGGTGAGTTATTGTATATCATTAGTACAAGAGAGGCCTATCATCATTAACCACTCTAT